AAAATTGACAAAGCTTGAAAATGTTCAAGACTTACTTTGCGACTTGGAAAACCGAACGAGATTGCTGTCGAACGAGATTACGAGACTCAAATTGCTCAAATTGCTTTAGAATCAACTCGCGCAAAACTAAAACAAAGGAATTAAGAAACTTGACCGGATTTATTTGGCCTAGAATCAGAAAAAGAAACGAGAAAATGGAAAATCACACAATTTTTAGCTCAAATTTTTGATTTTTTTGATAGAATGACGATCAAAAAACTCAAAAGTTATAACCCTTTCAAGCGCATTTTCCCAATTCCCAATTTTGTCTTTTTAAACGAAACCACTAATGCAAGAAAAATAGAGAATTAAGTACACTAGAAAGAGTGCGTTTCTACAGTTGAACTTTGTGTTCAAATTGTGATCACATTTTTCGTTTTTCTCTTTTTTTTTTTGAAAACAATCGTAATCTTGGGATTTTTATCTAATCTATCAACTTTTATTTTATAAAGGTTATTTAGATAAGAGAAAGGTAGATTAGAGGTCGATTAAAAGGTACAGTACTGGACAATGAAATATGATATTTGAAAAAAGATCGTCACTTTCGCGCGTCTGTAACTCTCTTGTCTTTACCGTAGTTCTAAATATTAATATTATCATTGTGTAGCCCTTGAAAAGAGCTTTCAGAAAATGTATAACAATAATAGTTTAAACTCAAAGACAAGAGAGTTACAGACGCGCGAAAGTGACGATCGTTTTTCAAATATCATATTTCATTGTCCAGTACTGTACCTTTTAATCGACCTCTAATCTACCTTTCTATTATCTAAATACCCTTTATAAAATAAAAGTTGATAGATTGAATTAGAATTAGAAGAAAGATTGAATTAGAAGATAGATTGAATTAGAAGATAGATTCAATTAGAAGATAGATTCAATTAGAAGATTGATTGAATTAGAAGATAGTTTGAATTAGAATTAGAAGATTACGATAGGTTTTGAAAACGTTTTTCGTGTAAAAGTGCAACTAAATGATGTATTTGAAGATGATTTTCTCATTCCGTACTCAAATCCATCACAAACAATATCCAAACTTGTGGATTAAACCAATTTCATTCTTTCTTTTCTCACTCCAATTAGGGAAGCCGGAAATTGGATCGTGAAAGCTTTTCATCTCTATATTCGTTTGATAAGCTTTTAGCGAAATTGATTTTATAATGTTTACCCACCAAGTAAATATAGCTTAAAAGATTTTCCTAAAAGGTTTCAATGTTTCCTGACTCGTGACCCAGTCACCGTAACCCTCTGCTAACCATAGAGGCACATTTAGAGCCGCTACTCAAGTCGACTTTTGGAAAAAATCTGCCGAAACCACTCAACCTGAATCTTCGTATATTTATGCTCTCTATCTAACCAATTACAGTTACAGTACGAGTACTAATTACTTGGGTTACGGTAGCTGTGATTGTTATGCAACTATTTGCCATATTGCCGCTTTGCGCTCGGCTCAAAGCACTCGACTTTTTCTCGAGTACTTTGAGTTCAAAAATTGTAAATTGTAAATACCCCTTCTGGTGCACTTCTGGTGCACTTCGATTCTCTATTTTCCCGATAAAACAAAAGCAGAAATGATGGCTTAAGTGCACGAGACGATGCGTTTACTTGAGTACAAAGTAGAATCTTTGATGACGGAAACAGCTCTCTTCTTATCTTTTTTATCATTCTATTTTAAGCCAAAAAATCTCTATCGACAAGTTTTCCAAGTAAAAATTTATTAGAAAGTATCGTCTTTTCTATTTTTTTGCTTTCAATAGCAGCTTTGCTTACAAAATTCGCTTATCGTCGCCGAGGAAATTGAGTTTTTTTTTCTTTTTTTACGATTCCAAGAATATTGTAATCAACTTTCTTCGTAACAGATTCATTTTTAAATAAAATTTCTATTGATTATTCAGAATTTCAGATATTCATGGTCTTTGGGGTATTTTAAATAAGGCTTTGCTTAAATGAGGCTTTGCTTAAATGAGGCTTTGCTTAAATGAGGCTTTGCTTAAATGAGGCTTTGCTTTAAAGGTCTAGAACTTTATCTAAAGATAATATGATTTCTTCTTAACTATTCGAAATATAAGTTATTAGGTCGGAAAGAAAGTTCTCGGAGAAAGTTACCGTAAATACTGTCTATAACTTTATCTAAAGATAATATTATTTTTATATTTATTTAAATACCGTAAATAGTACCCCACTCCCCTCGTACAGTCGCGTAGTCGCAAAAGTTTTTTAGTATTTCATTTCTTTCAAAGCGTCTTTCTTTCAAAAAATGTGTCTTTAGTATCAAAAAATAGCCCTGAATTTCAGCTATTTTTTGATACCTTAGCGCGCATTGTAGCATAAACCAGTGTCGAGAAAAACTCGTTCAAAGCTAGACTACGCCACACTCCGCACCGTCATTATGGGCGGTGGGGTACTATTACAGTATTTACGGTAGTTTGACTGAAAATTTCTTCAAAACGAATCCACCAATTCAAGAACATTTTCTTCTATTATTTCCAAGTCGACTCCAAGAAATTACTCGTAAAAAAAATGGCAGCTTTTCCTTTAAAATTTTAGAGCTTAAACTCAGCTAGCTTTTTGGATCAGAAAAAGGATTCCTTATGTGGTAAAGCTAGCATAAATGAGCATGAGCATGAGCATAAGCATGAGCATAAGCATAAGCATGAGCATGAGCAATACGCTTTCTAATCTCTATTTTTGGCCAACTGAATGCGACCAATTGCCGAGCTAACTTCAGCTTCATTCAGCTAACTTTTTAGACCAGAAAAAAGACTCCTTATGAGGTAAAGCTAGCATAAATGAGCATGAGCATGAGCGCTACGCTTTCTAAACCCTTTCTAGCGCACTGCACTCTTTTGGTTTCCCTTGAAGAAATGCGTTGAAGAGAGAGAAATTCGAATGCACTAGAAAGATTTAGTTTACTAGTAGTTATTGAGTACTAATCTCTTTTAGAGCTGATTTAGATGTGCTTTTAGAACATAATACTGATCTCTTTTATAGCTAAAAAAACGATTTTTAAATCATTTTCTTTTACATCCATTTGATCTCAATGTATTCATTAAAATCCTCGATGTCCTCCAATCTTCAAATCTTTTTTTTTTTTTTTTTGCAAAGATCCAAAAAAAACATTCTCTCATTGGAACAAACCACGAAATTTCATTTTCAATTCATGAAAGCTTTCCTTTTTTTGCAAAAAGTGAGGGCAAAGATGGCCTCGGATTCCCTAATTTTGACACTTCCGTAAATTTTTTTCATTTTTGAAATCGTTTATAAGAAAACGAACATATGGTAGGATTGAAAAATTTTATGAATTATTTGAAATTGAAAAATTTTAATGCAGAGGATGTGTACAAATTTGAGTATAAAGTACGATTTTTTTTCTATTTCTTTTAATGTTTTATTTCACAGAGAAACCTTGGGGGAATTGAACCGGGAAGCTTGCAAATTGGAGGGAAACGAGCGGGCGAAGGAACGAGCATTGAGTCTTCGAACAAAGCTCTCCTCATTGAGTTGTGCTTGAAACTTTTTCCTTCATTTTTCCTTCATTTTTTCTTGCTTTTTCAATTGACTTTAGTCGAAAATTTTGTCGGATTTTGGTGTTTTTAATCTTTCAATGTAAGTACCGTAATCTGTAAGTACTGTAAGTACCTGTACCACATTCTATGTACACTCTATGTACAGTATTCGTTTACCGTAACCTTTATACAATAGGTTTAATATCATAGTCCTATACCGTAGCTTGAGTACAGTGATCTGTAATTTCTTTACCAGAATCCTTATACCATATCTTGAGAGTACAGTAATCTACAGTTTACTTACCGTAATTCTTATACCATATCTTGAGAGTACAGTAATCTTTCTGTTTACCGTAATCCTTAACCCGACAATTTCTTATTGTAAAAAGACTTATAGAGAAAAGAGAGAGAGAAAGAGTAGCAGTTTTCATAAAATAAAAATAACTCAAAAGCGAAATTTCTCTCTCCAGTTTGTATTCTTGAAATTGCCCAAATTCTGAGAAAACTTTTGAAATCTTTCTACTTTTTGATAATAAGAAACAATCTTTAGCTTTCATTTGTTTCTTTATGTAGAAAATAACAAAATTACACGGTTTACAAAGAGAAATTTGGGGGTTTCAAGAGGGAATTACGTTCGTTCTGACTCACTAAAAAAATCCTTTTTGCAAAAATATTTAACTTTCAACTTGATAGGCTTTAATTTGAATTTAATCTTAATCTTCATCGAAATTAATTCAAACTACAGTAATCCCTGAAATAGCCGAGATTTGGGGAGTGGGACAAATGCGACCTTTTTTTTGCGCACCCGGACATTTGCGCACCTTTTTTTCCGCACTTAGCCCATTAGCGCACCTTTTTTCGCGTTTTAAAAAAGCTCTAAAAGCTAATATTAACCAATTTCGATTCCAAAAGTTGTTTTTCTAGGTAATTTTAGGGCGTAGAATCGAAATTTTGACATGTCAGAGCTTGTGGAAGCGAACGGACGGAGTTATACAAAGAGAAAAATCAACAATCTTCTGTAATTTGATCTAGCCGTTTTGATCTAGCCATTTCAAATTGGTTCCACACGCTCTGATATGTCAAAATTTCGATTCTACGCCCTCAAATTACCTAGAAAAACAACTTTTGGGATAGAAATTGGTTAATATTAGCTTTTAGAGCTTTTTAAAACGCGAAAAAAGGTGCGCTAATGGGCTAAGTGCGGAAAAAAAGGTGCGCAAATGTTCGGGTGCGCAAAAAAAAGGTCGCATTTGTCCCACTCCCGAGATTTGTTACGTTAATTGATGACTAAAGTAACTTTGATCTAACTCAGTGAATTTTGATTTTGATTTTGATTTTGATCTAAATTTTCGCTCCAATTCTTTCAATCTTACTTTATCCCATTTCTTTAAAAGATATTCAGTTTCAAAACCTTTAAAACATATTCAGTTTCGAAAATTCTTGATTTTTCAGTTCAAAATGACCGAATCAAATCAGCACGACGATTTCTTAGCTACTTGGATGTTCGTTTCGAGAATACAGTACTGGCTGGTGCTCATCTTTGCTTTCCTATCAGTCTTGGTGAGTAAACAATGTTTAAGTTTACGTATTTTGTACTCAAGTTCTTCTAAACTCACCCTTTCTGGTGGACTGACTGACAAACTGACTAAACAGCTTATCTCAACTTACCAAATAAAAATAAATGGCAAAAAAAATCCCCGAGCGGAATTGAAGCCTCGACCTTCTGCTTACAAGGCTGATGCTCTACCACTGAGCTATTGGTGGCTTCTTTGGACAGGAAGAAATAGGAAACATAAGGAAAAGAAGGGAAAAGAGAGAAAGCATCAAGGTCTTCTAAACGCACCTTTTCTGCTGCACTGACTGACTAACTGACTAAAAAGCTTATCTCAACTTTTCCATTTTCTCCATTTTCAGATCCTCGTCGTTGCTGTGTGGATTGTTCTCCGCATCAAACGCTCTCACTATTTCTATTTCCTTCTATCAATCGTTTGTGCCGATTTGGCAATGTTAACGATTATTCTACTCGAATTACTCTCACAAACGTTGTTTCCATTGATGAAAGGTTAGATTTGATTCGAATTTGAAAAAATTCACTATAGAATTCACTGTAGAATCATCAGAAATTGTGTACTTTGTGCCGAAATGCACTATTTCTAGTGCACTGAATTCTCCTACATTTCTGTATCAAAGAAATACATGCGCTAGAAAGAATGTGCTTTTGTTTTTGTTTCAAATTCTCAGCATAAACTACACCCTGAAGTGTTTTAGTATCAAAACTTCCCGCAAAAAGCTCTTTACTTCAATAAATTTAAACAAATTTCAACAAATTTAAACAAATTTCAGTCGATTCCATCAATATAGGTAAAGCAAAGAAAAAGGGTGTGCAATTTGCATGAAAAATTCGACCAAAAAGCTATCTTTATCCGGGATAAACTTGCTAAAAAAGAGAAATTCGTACATTCCTACGCCATTTTCCTGCATGTTTTCTCAAACACTCTAAAATATTCCGCGTTTAGCACGATTTAAATGAATATTTTCAAATAAAAAGCACTCATAAAAAGCACGATTTCTAGGTCCTTTATTGTGCAAAGCGATGCATTTCTTCTCAAACGTTGCTGCCACTTTTGTCAACTGGACATGGGTGTTGATGTTTGTGCAACGATTTGCTCTCGTTTTTTTCCCGTTAAAGGTAACAGTGAGCGATGACATTGATTTTATGCTAAAATTTAAGCCTTTCTAGTAGCCTAGAATTCTTGGCAAGGTCAGAAGCTAGATCTAGGTATGATTTCTGACAGACTAGAGAATTTTTGTCTGGTCCAGAGTTGACAGAAAAACCAAAAGCCAAGGCTAACCAAGTCAAGCCAAGGCTAACCAAGTCAAGCCAAGGCTAACCAAGTCAAGCCAAGGCTAACCAAGTCAAGCCAAGGCTAACCAAGTCAAGCCAAGGCTAACCAAGTCAAGCCAATGGCTTTCAATTAACCTTTGCCTGGAATTTTAACCTTACAATTAGATTTGACTTGACTTGGGCTGACCATGACCCTGCCTGCAACTCAGAACTCGGTCTAGACCTAGATTCCGGCTACAGGGATATTTGTGGTCCAGGCTACAGGCTACAGGCGTACAGTAAAGCCAATCCAGGCAAGGCCAGTTTACTTTGGTTAAGTTACTTACTAAATTTTTGAATCAACCTTAAAAGCATCTGAATATACCGTCTGGAACTTGCTTTTAAAACAAGAAAGGCGAACAAGAAAGAAACTTTTAACTTGGTTTTAAAACAAGAAAGGCAAGAAACAAGAAATTTATTATATTTTACATTTTACTCTAGATCTTTAGAATCGTGCCTAAACTGTCAAACAGATTGTTTGTCAAACAGATTGTCTGTCAAACAGATTGTTTGTCAAACAGATTGTTTGTCAAACAGATTGTCTGTCAAACAGATTGTCAAACAGATGTCAAACAATAACTCATTGCATTCAATTTCAGCGAGTCGATCGTGGTGTGTTCGGTGTTCTGAACTCGAGCAAGAAATTGCTTCTCATCAACCTCGCTTTTTCATCGATCACCCAAGTAATTTGACCTCTTTTGACTTTTCGTTTCTATTTTCTAATGAAGACAAGACTCTATTCGAAGTCATTTCTCTCAATTTTCCCTTTTCAGAGTTGGGCTCTTTTGCTCATTACAGAGAAAGAGATCGAAGGAGGATTGGTGGTTTGTGAAAGAGATGCGAGGTGGTTGAGGTGAGCGGGAGGAAAGGAGAAATGGGTTGAGGATTCATTTCTAACATTTGCATACCAAAATCTAAAACATTTTAAGAATTATTCTTAAACTATAAACTAAAAGAGCTTAAAGAAATCGAAAAGCGGATAAAATTCATAAAAAAGCATCGATTTCTGAAAATTTTGTTGTGGGAGAGGCTGAAAAATAGACGAGAATGGCTTTCTATTGAAATGATTAGAGTATTCGATTTGATAGATGGAGATTCTTTATTAATCTTCTTTCTAGTGAACGCGGCTTTCAAATGGTTGCTGTCGGAGAGGCGGTTGCCACTTATGTTCTTCCATTTCTCGCCACTCTTGCCACCGATTTGACCGTTTTAATGTGGAACTATCGAACAACCAGGTAAACACATTCAAAAGATTGCCTGATAGACATGCTTTACTTGGTTACGGTATGAAACTCAAGGAATAGCTCAAGAAATAGCTATTCGAATATTCAGTTTATCGGTTTTCTGGACACTTATAAGCATGGTAGCTTTCTTAGAGAGGCCTTTTAACCGTTTAACGGTTGATTCTGGTTTAAATCTTGTGTTACACTGACAGATTTTTGAAAAATAACTGTTAACATAAGCTTTTGACTGCTCGTATTCTATTATCTTTTTGTTAAATAGAAAATAGTGTTCTTTGTTCTCAATTGATGGAATGTCTTTGAAATATTTTGAAAATCTTGTTCCCCTGTTTTTTTCATTAATTTTTCATTTGACATGAGCTCAAATTTTTCCTTAAGAACACGTGATAAAGCAGAAACAAAAAAAAACAAGAATTAGATTAAAAGTCAGAAATTTATGAAAATTTAGCAAAAACTGTGTCTTTGGGGTTTACAATTGACGATGTATGCACAAACGAGAGTCTCGCACACTCATGAAAACATTTCAAACTTTCTTCGTCGCTCATAACGACACAGTAACAAAAGAGCAAAAAATTCTGTCCCAACAATTCTCCAAATAACCTTCATGACTTTCCTTTTTTGACGATACGGAACTTGTGCTAGGATAAAGTGTGCTAACATTAAAAAGGAATCGCAACCGTTTCACTGCACATTCCATATTTCGATGCACTTTTTCTTTTATTTAATAGCTTAATCATAGTTGTAAATGTGTCAACCAGAAGTCTGGTCCACGAGATTTTGGATTTTTTGGACACGAGAGGTCCACGAGATCAATCCGGGACTGGTCCGGATTGATCTGGTAAACCGGGTAAATTCCCCAGACCCAAATTCGGAACTTACCGTAAATACTCTAATAGAACGTCATCCCCATAAAAACGGGCGTACAATCGCGTAGTCTAACTTTGCACTGACTGACTAACTGACTAAAGAGCTTATCTCAAATTAGCTTGTCTTTCTCCGCGCTGCTTTATGCTACAATGTACGCTTGTGTGTCAAATGATAACCCTTGAAATCTAATATTTTTTGTACCAAAAGTGTAGTTAAGAAAAATCTAGGGACTGAGAAAAAAATTATTTTCTAAAAGGAACTTGGACTACGCGATTGTACGAGGGGGTGGCGTTCTATTAGAGTATTTACAATATACTCAAATTTCCAAATTACGACAAAATGTCCTGATATTATTTTTTCAAAAAAGCAAAAATTTCGAGAAGGTCCGGGATTCGAACTCACGGGGGAAAACTTTAGATTGATGAGTATAAAAATCGACAAAGCTTTCCTCAAAATAAATCATCCCAGGAGAAAGCCCATGAAAAACTGTATAAATCCAGCAATTTTCTCAAAAAGGCAAAAAACTTCGAGCAGGATGAGATTCGAACTCACGCGGGGAAACCCCATTAGATATCCGCCATTCGATAGCAGTCTAACGCCTTAACCACTCGGCCACCTGCTCACATTTCCAGGGGCCGAGGAAAAGCCTTTTCAGAGTCGCCACCAAAGAAACTCAATCAATATAACCATTTTTTTTTCTTCTATTTAAGATCATTCAGATAATTCGCAAGAATTATTTACATTTATATATAAATACTTTATTCAGAAAGAAATAAAGTGCGAAAAAAACATGAAAAATGTACTAGATAAAAGATCACAAAGCCACTTAAAATGCAACGAAATAGCCCCTTTAAAATCAGACACGGTGGAGATCAAACGCAACTTGTCGGGAAGGGCATTCCAAACTTTAATCACACGATTTACGAAAAAAGCTCTAGAGGATTTAGAGAAAGCAAGTTTATCCAAATGGAATCAAAATTAAGTAAAACGGAGAATATCTAAAGAAAAGATTAGGTAGCTTTTCAAATAGCTTTTCAAATTATTCACTTTTCAGAGCAACGATAAACCGGCTCTAAACAGTACAGTTTTGAGGGCAGTTGCCTCAAAACTTCCCTTCATTTATATAATCTTGATTATGATTTGCTCATTTGCGTATTTTTTTGAAATATCTCAAGTTCAGCATTTCTTTCAGATTAGAAAATGTGATTAAGGTTTGGTTTTGCTGAAAAATCGAAAAACTTTCACTGATTTCACTCTTCATTTTCATTAGAATGAGAATAATGGATGTTTAGTAAGAAAAAAAAATGAAGTATTGCTAGCAATACTTGCTTTTCTCTTTTGAAAAATGTACTTTTCTCTGTCTATCCCCTCGTTAAGTTCGTTAAATTATATACGCATGCAAAAATGTCTTCTTTAGATTTCAGATACATATATATTGGGTTGTCCAGTTATGTCCAGCGTTTTTACTATTTTGTAAATTTCTCAAGATATCGAACAGATGTATATGAGTGTTATATATCATTCGAAAGCTGAAGATCTCCTCTACATTTTGGAATAAAAAAGTTTCTGAATTCATTCAACTTTTTGGGAAATTGACTGCACAAAGGGAGAGGTCGTTTTCGAAAAAACCCATTCCAGCTTAGCTATTCCGCAAGTTTTATGGTGTAAAATCATCGCCCAGAAAAGAAAAGAAAAGTAAAGATGCTCTGAAATTGTTAAATTTTATAAAAAGCTGTACTGATATATCTATTGGCCAAATATCAAACGGTTAGCTCAATTTAAGCGGAGCCAAAACTTGATCCAAAGGCACCCTTCCATTTTTTGGCCACCTCTTCTGTGCAGTGATTTTGCCCAAAACCTGAACAAATTCAAAAACTTTTTATATCAAAATGTAGAGGAGATCTTCAGCTTTCGAATAATACTCATATATATCTTTTTCTTCATTTCGGTATCTTTTAAAAAATAGTAAAAAACGCGCTTTCATAACTGGGCAACCCAATAATTCAAATCCGCTTTTCCCTTTCAATTCACAATTTCAAAAAAAATATCAAAAATTTCGTATTATCTTTTTATTATCTTTTTTCGATCGCAAGTTTATCAAGAAAATTTTTATATTGTAAATTTTGGTTGATGATTTACAAAGATTTTCTGGATAAGTCAAAGTGATTCTATTGAGTCATTTGGGCACTACAATTAAAGCATATTCCCAGCGTTGTAGCTTTTCTGCAGCTTTTCTGTAGATATATTCCCAGAAAATAATCCTAAAATTTATTTTTTAAACTTCTCAAAGGTTCACTTTCCCAGGAAATGAAAAAGAAAAAAGAATTCAATTTGAGAAGTTGACGCGAGAGGCGAAAAAAGCCATTAGTCGCTTGGTCGGTGAAAATTTCATTGGGATTTTCGATTGAGATTCGGTAAAGATTTGTGAACTTTTATTTAAAAAGGGGGAAATAAAGAAAAATAAAGAATGTATTTCTTTTTATTTCGAAAATTTTAGATTCACTCTAGTGACAACTGACGGAATCAAATACAAGAGCTCAAACGATTGTGAGGGTTTCAAAATCCAAAGCAGTAAAGGGATTGAGGTGAGTGAAAGATATTGAGTATTTGAATATGTAAAAATAGACATTTTTATTTGATAAGATTATTCAAATGTCTACGTTTCACATTTCTAATCTCTAAATTCGAAATTTCAGTCTCGAGAACGGCGTCGACAAGCGGCGATTCGACGATGTTTAGCAATGGCAACGATACAGGTAGTAGAAAAGAAAGTTGAAAACCTTTATGACTAAAAATCTCTAAATGCAAATCTTATATCATATCTACTTTATATTACTGTATTACTGTATTACTGTATTACTGTATTACTGTAGTTCAATTCAATCAATTCTCGAGTTTCAGGCTGCCTTAAATGCTCCCCATTATGCGCTACAAGTGATCGATGAGTTGTGCCAATTGAGGTAAGCAAATAGAAATTGAATCCTAGCTTTGGAATCAAATATAATACAGTAACCAGCCATAGTATTCTTTAGCACAGTTAGGGATTACGGGAGGATTACGGTAGGATTACGAGTGGGATTACGGGAGGATTACGGTAGCCTTCAAAGCGTATCCCGGCTACTGTAATCCCTGCCCAATTAGACGATTTTACAATAAGCCAAGTAATACTTTTCCACTTATTGAAAAGGATTGTTTAAAGGTTTTTCCTTCAGCACTTCCCGCTTCGCGAAAACCTACTATTATATGGATGCTGTTTTGTATCAATTGTATTTAATGCAATTCCCAATTGTCATCCTGTACATTTATCAAATCGAGAGGCAAACGAATGCGAATACGAATTCGACGAAGATGACGTGAGGAATTAAAAAAAGATTTAATGCTACCGTGACCCGACAGTTCAATGCTTTGATAACCTACCGTAAACCGCTTTTTAAAGTTAACCCAGCGCTTGGGGGCTCATTTAGCTGCCATTTTTTCTTTTCCTTATAACTTTAACTCAAGTGTCAAGAAATTTAGATGCTTTTAGTATCAATCGATTTAGAATAAAATTCTGCGTTGATTGATACTAAAAACATCTAAATTTGTTGACATTTGATAAAGTTATAAGCAAAACAAAAGCAAAACAAAAATGGCGGCTAAATGAATGTTTCCTTGAGCTAATGGGCTCTGTTTCAACCAAAATCACGGGTTTACGGTAGCTTTTTAAAGCGCAAATTTTAGAAAACCTTTCGGTCAAGGTTTTTCTAAAGAGTGGCACAGGAAAGCTAGCGTAACCGATGTCAAAATGACACGCGATTACGGTAGCTTTAAAGCGCATATTTTAACAAGGAGCATTTAAATCTAAGAGGCAAAGATTTACAAAAAAGAAAACAATGGATTTCTAGTGCCTCGATGGCTCACTCAACAACGGCCCTTTGTCCCCCCGTCTCCCCATCTCCACACTCAGCAATCATTCGATCAAGTTCTCATCGCTTCTCTCCACCCAGTCCCCCGTTGGACCCGCCACCACCGAAAGCGATCTCAGTGATCACCAAAAATATCTCTCATCGACACTCTTTTCGTGGATATTATCAATTTCATGAGCTTTAAAGAATTCGATGTAATCTTGATTGTATACCGGCTAAAAGTGCTATTATAATTAGATTTATTTCTCGAGTTATACGTTTTCTAAAACATGTCAAGTTTTGAAAGGTACTAATCCTGTCTCTATTTTTATCCAATCTAAAAAGAGGCCAAAAGATAAGGCAAAAGGGTACTTGTGGAGTATCCGGGGTGGTAAAATTTTAAGATCCGGGGTAAACTTTCAAAAACCAACAAATTGCGCAAAAATGTTTTTTTTTGTTAATATGGCTTTACCGCTGTTTGCGTGTGGTACCAAACATAATAATTAAATAAATTTGTGAAGTACAACAGTGACTATTTGTAACAGTGACAATGAATACTACTTGTAAAAATCTATCGAATTTACTTCTAGGCCAGGAGGCCAAATATCAACACATAAAACTACCCCAAAAAATGGTTTTGAAGAAAAAAAAGTGACCTGTCAACTAGGATAATATCAATATTTCTAATAATGACATAAAAAAATTTTGTAGAAGTTACGTTTTTGATCGAGTATCACCTCGAATCACATAATCAAGTAATCACCTCGAATAAATTGAATATTTTTACATTTGAAGGGAATTTGCCACCAAATCACTTATAACGTATATAAAATTTTACCCCACGGGATCTTAAAATTTTACCACCCCGGATATTGAAAGATCCCCCCGGATACTCCACAAGTACCGGCAAAAGATACAAAAGAAGGAAAACCATACAAAAGTAGATAGATTTAAGAAAAATAGAGGCGAGATTACGGTGGTTTTCGGAAGTTGACATGTTTTAGAAAACGGATTATTTGACAGGATAGCCCTGGATTTTTGAATATTTATGTCGGCATATTGTAGCTAGATAAATATGACTTTACATAGTATCCTTTAAATTCTTCCTTTTTTCTCGTGATCTCAGGGTTTTTATCTCTTTCGTCCGAACTTCTCTAACATGTGTTTTTTCGATACAAAATTATCTGCAGTATTTATCTATCTCGCGGGTCTTCCCATTCATCACATTGTGATCTCGAGGAATTGCTCTAAAAGTTTGAAAAATATCGATAAACGCCTTGATCAATGCAAACTACATTACAATGACTCAATGACCATTCAAACAAAATTTACCAACTAAACGATCAAAATTTGCATTTAACCATCAAATAAAAGCATGGCAAGTAAAGGAAATAAGCAAGATTTATCATTTTGACTCCAGCCACTCCAGCCACTCCAGCATTGCGATCCAGATGTCGATGTAAGGATTTTGAAATTTTATTTTTGACTCTTATTTTTAAACCAGCTTCACTGGCTTTTGTTTTGAGACTAAAGTTTTTTTTCGAATTCACCTTTCACTAAAACCTTCTCGCATTTATTACAATAATTTTGACTGTGAATTAATCGTTTGTCAAGTTTAGTTTGTTTGTCACTTGCTTATCGGTTTGGTGCAAAATAGAAAATACAAAAAACAGTTACGGTAGCGAATTTCCTTTAGCACTTTTCCGTCAAACACCCCTCTTTTTTAGTCAATTGACACAAAATGAGGAGCGAGCCGTCGGACAACACAGCCAAACATGCGCTTCACACGCTTTTCGCAAAATGACACCCATTTTTCAAGGTATCAGATTTTGTAACTTGCTTAATGATTGTTCAATAAATTCTCTGCTTCATGAACTTGCTCAATTTTTATTTTAGGCCTTGGTTGAACGATGTGCTTGTTGGCTATTGGGATCGCTGTCTACTACAATGTGCTGATTGCTTGGGCTTCACTCTACATTTTTAATGTTTTCAAGGTATAATACTCAATTTGCTTGCAAGTTGTAAGACTTTAGATCCCCATCAATGACAATACGTACGTGTGGACTTGTGCGACAATTCCTGGAACAATAACAAGAGTACGTTTTTGGTTTATCTTTTGCACAAAACAAATTTAGCATGTGTATCGACTTATCAGAACAAAGAATGCCAAGAGAAGTACAACATGTCGTACTCTTTCCAAGGACAATGTATGAAGAAGCGGGAAGATTTCCTCATGAAAGCCGGCCTCACCAGCATGGTCAATACCACGTCGGCTACCGAAGAATATTTCAAGTAAACTTTGGGTAGTTTTGTATTAATTTTTAATCTTTAGCCGCTTCATCCTCAACAAAAGCGGTTCAATTACGGACTTTGAATCCTACAATTGAAATGTATGTTTATAAAACTTTGCTTTAACTGTGATTAGCTCTAATTTAGGTATTCGTAGCGTTGACCGTTGTCTGGATCCTTACTTGTTTGGCGATCATGTTTGGGGCAAAGATCATGGGATACACCGCTTGCATCACTGCCCCACCGTTCTTCGTTTGCCGACGCATTCATGTCAGTCTTGGGTGGAGTAGGGGTTTTTTCGATTTGGGCTTTATGGCAAAACGCTTTGTTTTCGCAATCGCAAGGTTCCAGAGGTGGTCACAGAAGGTGAGCAAATTTTTGAAATTTTTTCAAGTAGATTGTAAGAAAAATGCAAGATCTCAGGAAGATTATAAAGTTTACTCATGGCTTTCATTTAGGAATCGCTCTTGCGTTCGTGGCGACGGCACTGATGCCAGGTGGATGGGTGTTTGCGTTGATCTTCTTTGTGATGCTCTTCCTTCTTGGAATTGGAACACAATTTGGTTAGATTACACTACGTTACTGTTTGAAATTAATATTGTACTTAGGGCTTGTCTCCATCTTTCGGCAGCTTTCTCGGACTCATTCCCGAAAATATGTTTTGGGGTCGTTCGAAGCTTTTCTTCACGCTGCTCATTTGTTTCGTCTACTTCTTGCTGGGAGTCATCGTGTGTTGTGGGGTTTGGTTAAAGTTAGATTCCAATATTGCCAATATTTAGAGTGGTTTATGTTGGACGCTTTCACGGGTAGTGTGGGCATTCCGCTTTGTGCAGCGATGGGTCTTCCTATTGTCTGCTACATTTACGGTATTAATTTCTGGTTATAGTGCTATTTTTACTCGATCTATTTAGGTATCTGCAACTTTATCATCGACATTGACGAACTTTTTGGAAAGCCAAGTAATTTCGTGTCACGTTGGGTTTTTGGAACTCGACCACCCTACTTTATCATCACATGGATGTTCTGTGCGCCGGTTATTGGAGTGGTTTGTTTCATATCCCGTTTGCACGCCCCATTCATCATATCTTAGGTTGTCTTTGGATATCAAACCTTCATGCTGATCTTGAACATCTTCAGTAACACATACAATGTCCCAGGGTGGGGATACACGCTGGAATGTATGATTGATTGTCTTTTTATAAAGCAACTATTTAATTCTAGTGTGATCATAATTCTTCAATTTGTTCCAGTTCCCAGCGTTTGGTGTATGGAACACCTTCAAAATTATTTACATTCAAAGAAAGGTTTGTGCTTGTTTTGCAAATAGCTAATAGAGTTTGTTTAGTCATGACGCGAGTTGTTCCGAGTGCAGCCCAATAATCGATGATATGCTCGCATTCGTGGCGTTGGTTTCCATTTTCAACAACAATTAGATCTGAGTTTAGAGAGAGAGCGCATCTTATCGGAGGATTTGGAAATCAGGCAGCGCAATGTGAAAGTGGTGAAAAGCATGAATGAGGTTAGGATTTGTTCTTGTTCTTTTGCCATTTAAAACATCTTTTGTTTTAAGGAACATTAAATTTGATCCAACACTTACGCTCAACTTTAGTGATCGCCGACGTCTACCAAATTAGAAGAAACCTCAACAAGCAAAGTGGAGACGAGTGCCAATCGAAAGGAAGCCTTCCAACCGATCAAGTGAACAAAGCGACCAAAAAGGAATAAGAGAAGAAACCTTTTTGTGTATGAGTGTCATCCTGATTTGTCGTTTCTCAAAGAATTTTCTTTTGAATTTTGCCGCTCTCACTTGTGTCTGTATTTCGAGTTGTGATATAGAGCATTTTTGAGAGAAAAATATCCCGATTCTTGTCTCCTGCAATAAATATTTGATATGCAAGAATGGATGTGTTGCATCTAACATAAAATTTATTGCGCAAAATCCTTAAATTGGGTTCAAAACTTAATCTCCAAGTTGCAAATTTTTAACCTCAAGCAAAATCGAAATTTGGTTTTCTAAATTGCGGATAAATTTGCATGTCTATTTGTCGTGAAAAATTTCACGCACACAATTTTTTTTAATCCTTTTACAAGCGAGAAGTCAGTTGTTTTGATTGTTAATGCTAGCCTTTTTTAAGTCTATAAACTTTTCTAGTACCTACTAGACAAGGCTAACGAGGCTTTTTTTAAACATTTGTCACTTAAAGGCTGATGGTCGCGTGCTCTTTAAGCGTGCTAGCCCTTAGTCGTTTGTTACTCGTTAGTCCTGTCTACTTTCGCCTGTAATACCTAAAATTGGTTTCTTTTTCAGTTAGAAACTTTCATGAGCCCTCTTTTTTAGTAAAATCAAAGACAACAAAAAAATGCTCGACGCTCATCCATTGCCCCAGATTGGATCATGGGCTCAATTGATGGAAGACGAGGAGCCACCTGAGCCGCAACTGGAAGAACAAGTGAGTGGAAAGATTTGAGGGGTTTTTTTTCTGAAAACGTTGGTGCAGCACGTTAGTTTGAGACAGGGCTAAACTTGTTCGGTACTAATGCACATATGGGGGGGGCACTTTTTTAGTTATCGTTGTTACTTTGCATTTTAATCTAGTTATCTTTGTTACTTGAAATTTTAATGAAGTCAATTTTATAATTATAGGGCTGCTGTACGTGAAAAATGAAAAACTTTGATAGCAGCGCCAATGAAAGTAGACATACTCGTTTATTCTGAAAGCTAGGAGCTCAATTAAAGACCTAAAAATTTTCTACAAATTTGGAATCGGCGCAGTCAGGAACCTGTAATAAAGTGGTTTTCGAGCAAAAAAAAGTGGCTCCCATAGGTGCATTAGTACCACTTGTTCCATATAGTCCGTTTTTGGTAGCCACTTATTTCATTTTCAAATACCGTTTTTTTAGGGGAAAAGCAAAGACGCTAAAGAACTTGGTGGCGATAATGTTGGCTTGCCGATTTCCTCGCTCTGCGTTTGTGTCAAGAATTTGCCTCCAAAAGTGTCTCTTGAAGAAATCTTCTTGCATTTTGGTGGAAGAGATAAGGTACTTTTACTTTTAATTTCTTATTTCCTAAGCAATAACGAAACTTTCTGGGGTAAGAAGATAATTTGGTGGCCAACATGTGGCGTTTCACTTAAAAAGGCTTAATTATGTTTATTCAGGTTGAGCGCATCTACTTCATCAGCGAAGATAGGTCGTGTCTTCTCGCATTGACTTCAGATTTGGCAAAGAAAGCTGCACGGGAGCTTGACGAGAGCTACATATTCAAGGAGCAAATCAAAGTAAGAGGGTGTTTTTTGAACAACAAAGTTTTAGGATATGTCTGTCTAGGTCAATAAATTTTAAACTTTAGGTGTCTCTGGCTCATCCCAAAGATCCGGAAACATATTATAAACAAGCTGATCCTATGCCTTCACCTGGGTCAGAATCTTTTGCTTAACGCATTTATCATAGTGTTTTAGACTTAGTCCTAATGCTACTCCATTTGTGCCACGTTCTCGCCTGTCATCCCGCCAGTCATTCTCGGTATAGTTTCTGTTATAACTTTATTAGAAATTGAGTGCTTTAGCCGACTGGTCTTCAAATGATAAGTCCACGGACTGAATGCCATGGCTTCAGTCCGAGCAGCATGGGCTCAACATGTGAATCCAACCAACCGGTCCAACAGCAGCATCTTCCACCTCGTCCACATCAGCAGGACTACCAAAGGCCATTCACGATCACGAATAGTGATCGACAACGCTCGACGTCATATCAACAAGGATCTGAATATGGAAAGTTTTCAAAGCAAAGATACGACGGATTGGCCACGAGGTACTGTCGTGAACATCGTCGGCTTTTGGTTTAATGAGTTGGAAGTTTGTTAAGTCGAGCATCGCATGTAACTGGCACTATTAATGTCTTTGTTTAGCAATCCTCATTCACCGGCTTTAAAAATTCCAAGTCAAAGTGTTGGTCCGACGGCAACGGTAATTTATTTTTTTATTTGGGAACTGACAGCTGACATTACGGGCTCTAATGACACATTACGAAATAGGATCACTTGATGTTTTGTGCTTTAGGTAAGGAAGCCAACAAGTGTTGAGCTTTATGGAGAGGCCAAACCAGTTGATACGGCGACAAAATTCGGGGAGATTGACGACAAATTGAGGCAAGCGGCTCGAAAAGAAACGCAACAAATGCCGATGGAAGAGGCAAAGCCTTCAACGACACATTCAATAAAGGTGCATTTGAGACATTTCTTAATTTTAATGTTTAACTTTAGTCGAAGTCGGTGCTTAATGACTCACACAATGATAGCATTGGCAATGTCGATGTTAACATGGCGTCCAGAAGCGAAAACAAAATGGATTCAGTCCCTAAACAAAGCACTCAGTCTGCTTCACCGGTTCCCTTCAAAGATTACGGATCAGTCACAATTCATCGTCGTCGAAATGATGTAAGTATATTTTTGAGCCAAGTATTAATAAGAGATTCTTCAAAAGGCATCCTCCTATTTTGTTTTAGCCAGAGGTTACTGATTCACCCGCACCTATTGATCCTGTACAACATCCTGTTGCGCCCATTGTCGAAGCGGTTGCAAAGAATGAGAGCCCTCGAACGCGCACATTCAGTCGTACAAGCACACATCCAAGTCGCTCTAACTCGGATATGTTCAAGAGTTTGGCTTTTTTTCTTTTTCACACAAAAACTTTTTAGATCACATCGTGAAACATTTGGGTTCTCAAATTGAAAGTGATCGCTCTCGGAAGGAAAGCACGAAAACCGAAGAAACCCGGGAAACGTGTGGTGAAGCATTGAACCGGGGGAAACCTCCCTTGGACAAAGTAAATTTTTTACGGCATGTTCCGATGCTTTAGTTTTAGACTTCTTCGTCCCGTGGCCCACATGGACAAAGCAATGTTGCTAATCGTGTGACAGTAAGTTGTTTAATCCGGTTGTAATAGCTTAACAGCCTAATGGGTTTTGTCAATTTCCAGTAAAATACTCAAATTCAGGGACAGCCATACTCCCTGAAGTCAAACCAACCAAAGCCTTTACCACATCGAGATGGACGCAAAGATCCCTTTAAAAACGATCATCCCGTTGAAAATGCAAAAAAGGCAATGTTGTTTAACTTTATTCGATAAACTTTATGTTTTTTAGATGACGGCTGATGACTCAAAGCATCAAAATAAGGAAAACAATAAGAAAAAGTCAAACAAGGAGAACAAGCAATCGGTAAGCGTCTAGTTTTTATTAGGCAATCTTTTTCAAAATTTCAAAAAATTAACTTATTACATTTAGGAGCAAGTGACCAAGACGAACTCAATTCTTGACAAAAATCCTTTCAGCGCTCTTCAAGGACTCGAAAACAATTGAGTCGGTTTTGTTCAGTTAATATTGTGTGCAGTGCTCTTTTTTGTGTCTCCTGTTATTTGTTAATGTTTCTCCGTTTTTAGTGTGGTATTATCTCGGGTCTCATTTGTCATGTAAAGCAACGGTTAGTCTTTCGTTTTTTATTAGGTCTGTTTGGGAAACTCTCTTTGTACGGGTAGAAAATACATGCATGCCTAGTTAATGCTATGGTAAAGCATTTGTTTTGTTCTTTTTTGTATTCTATTTCAGTTGTTTCAAATGGTTATTTGCGTGTTAATAAAGTGCGTTTAAATGAATCAGTCGAAGAATCAATCACAAAAAAGTTTCGAATAGTTGTATAATAAAGCTTTATCTCAAAATTCAACAAGTCCCAAAGCTGATCTTACAGCTTTTTCTTAAAAGGCCAAAAGCCCGATATGAATACCGACATCAGTCATAGTGGTAAAGTCTTAAGTCTAAATTCGACCCCTTTTAGGATAAGGAGCAAATTTTCTTCCTCGCCTTTTGATTCTGTAATTTGAGTTGTAGTTTTTAGTAAGACTTAATAAATGCTCTTTATTAAATTATTAGATAGGATTTCATGATACAAATAAAGCACAGCGGGATCTGTAATAAAGGCACTCAAAAATCGCATCCCACACCATAAAAAGCTAACCCAATAGCAAATTAAAAAACATACAAACGTAAAAATGCATAAAATCTCGGGAAAGAGCGATAAACATCACAATATATCGAGAAGCGTAAAAGGCTATGCTCACAGAAAAAAGGGTGCACAACTACTGTTATTGATGAAAATAAGTGAAAATGCAATCACAGAGTTACTCACTTTTCTCTTTGTTAGGTTTCGAAAGGATATGTGCGATTATCTTTGGTAACATGCATACAAAACTGATCATAGTAGCTAGCACAACAAAGAAACGAATTAGCATAAAGTGGGGTCCGACAAAAGCTCTAATATGAACATCATGCTTTGTTGGACTTGTCAAAATCTAAACAAACGGTTGATTATTATGCATTTATAAGAAATTCTAAAGCTGACCCAAATCATGACTATTAAAAGCACTCTACAAAAGAATGTTGATGGATAAGAGTTTGGAAAGTTCAGTTGTGCGTAAAGAAAAAATTATGCCTAGGGAGGTGCAAACATGAAAGTTGTGCCATGGACGGAGAAAGCACAAGTGCGGAAAAAAACGGGTAAGCTCATTCATCCGCATGCAAATTTAAAAAGCACAAAGGAAATGTTTGGTCAGAAAGTGTGACTATACTTTAACGGTAACCTTCTTGTCGGATACACTGTCGACGGCGATGAAAACGAGGAAGAGAAGAACGGTGCCGAGAAGATCGCCTAGAGCTGTCAAATAGGGAATTGCTGCGTTGTCCGGATCGGTCCCTCTTGCCCACATCCACGACACTAGCCATTGACATACCCAGAGTAGAATGACAACCTTAATTGAAAATAAATCAACCCCTGAATTGCCAGTGAATTTAGTCGCAGTTAACACGAACTTCAAGTATTTTTGTTTATAAAATACCTGTGCAACTGCTGCAACTAAATAACACGTGGTGAACCAGGCTCCAGATGGCGGAAGGTCGGTGCCCGAGTGAAGAAGTTGGATCATCCAGTTGAAAAACATATGACCAGGAACGACAAGTAACAGCAAAACGCGAGCACTTCTCGAATCCCATTCTAAATCATTTTTGAGTTTGGAAATTAGAAAAACTAAAGCTTACCACTTGTGAAAAAGGCTCTTTTTGCAGATCGAAATCGACTTGGCGTCCAACCATGCGGTAGTTCGCCAATTCTTCCCGATTGGTGATAAGATGTCGATAGTCTCGAAGCTTGAACTGCAGCCAGATTGCCTCCAACACCTGAAACAAAATTGATTATAGAAAAATTCATATGTTTTTACCGTTAATCACAGGCTGAAAAGATGCAATAGCCGGGAACTGTCGAATTGCCCTTTCCAAAACAAATCCGCCTCCCGAAGAAATGAGCATAGCTATAATAACTGGGCTCCATCCAGTTGACAAAACCTAAAAATCACCAAATTTATAAAAAATGAAGGTAAAACCTCAAGGGCTCCTTCGTCATGACTGGCAACCCGAAACCATATCGGGGCCATCAAGAGAAAACTGACGATGATCAAAACGTTTAGCCACGATTCGGATTCATGTGCCATCAAAAAGATCGATCCAAACAATGCAAGAACCTAAAAATAGTGTTTATTTTAAACAAAAAAGTCATTACCCCAAGTGTTGTCAAATCTCCAAGTGAGGCAGCAATGGGCGTGGCAACGTTGTCCGGATTGATATTAAGATGACGAGATGCCAAGACAACAACAGACATCAGCAATGACAAGATAAGAGATGCCGAACAAGCGGTGGCTAACGATGAGGCACAAAGAAGAGCGGCATGGGACCAATCCACCTAAAAAATGTATTGATTTTTTAATTCATAAAGAATACCTGTCCTTGCGGTATCCAAGCCAAAACTATCGCAAACGCAGAGGCCAAAAAGGCAATAACCGTTGCTTGAACCTATTATGCATTTTTTTTCAATCAAATAAAATTGTTGAATACTTGAATTAAAGCCAGGTTAGCGCGAATCACATCCCATCTCTGTTTAGGCGAATCCAAGTGACCAAGATTAGCCTAAAAAGTCGTTAAGCTAAAGAAATACTATTCAACATACCAAAGTTGAAAGTCTGCTGGCAAGTGTCATTTCAAGATTCCCTTTCAGGCCAAGTAAAGCTGGGACGAGAATAAACGTTTCGGGAACCTGCAATGAAATCATTAAAAATTTACCACAAAAACTACCTGAGTGAATAAGGACCATGATTGCACTAAATCCAAGACCGTGCCCGCAAAAACCATTCCCATGCCAGCGATAGTAAAAGGGAAGATGACCTGAAAATACAAAATTTCAACAAAGCCAAAAGTAGACAACCTGAAGAAACAAAACATAGCTGCTTTCGACCGTTACTACACTTGCGATATCGGTGTCTCGGTCCACCGTTACATCGAGCGATTGTATTCGCAATTTTGCATCCTCTACCCTAAGGATTTCGCCGTGACTGTTTCTTTTTCTTCTACTAGAAAAAACCCCCCATGACCCTCATTACAATAGTTAGCTTACTGTTGTTGAGGCTCATTCGTTGAGTTCTGCGCAAGTGATTGAGACATCCGTGTTAAATCATCGATCCCTTTTGCTACCTTAACGATGAAAAGAAGTTTATCCTCGGTCATTTGAAATCTCGTAACAATATAACTTTTATTACCTGTTCTTGCATTTGTAGTTCAACATCACCATCTGTGTCCCGTTTCATACCAGAGCCACCCCTATAACAGTAAAATCAAGTGTCAACCGACAAAAAAATTTTCCCAAGAAATATTCTTCACGATTACTTTTCGGTTATTTTAAAACCTTGAATGGCAAGTAAAAGTATTTATTTAAAAACAAGAAAAACTTTCTATAAAGCACAATAACATAACAAAAAATGATAACTAATGTGTATCGCGTTTTCTTTTTTCATTCACGGTATTCTCGGCAAAAAATGTTTCTGGGTCGGCCGGTTCGATTTCGTTAAGGCGTGCAAACTGAATCAAACATCGCTTCATCGCATAGGCGTCTTCTCCGTCAGCGTAATATCTAAATGTACAACATTTATATACTCCCTTAGGTTGTCGATATTTTTAAAAATAATTCTTGATATTCAAAACAGACTTTGGTTCGACGTCGTTAATTTCAAATTTGAGCGTTTGTTGATAAAGGCTAAGAGCGGCACGATTGCTGACGCGAACATGCAGAGAAACATATCGAGCATTAAATGTCTCAATCATAGCACTCGCTGTTTGATCCATCAGCTTCTGCGCGATACCTGAATCTTTCAATTTGCGTTGATTTCTTTTCCAAAAACAAACCCAATCGTCGATAACTCCTTTTCACCGCAAGGGAAGTGATATGTCCGTGTGGTTCTTCATCACTCTCATCTTCCATCTTTGCAAGAACATAGCCGACAATGTTACCCTAAAAATCAAAGTTTTAAAATCGTCAGAGTTGGACTACTCTTCTTCGTTGCACACTTAACAACTAAATTACAATAAACTTGTGGTTCAAATCAAAAATCTACCTTGTGATCTTCAGCAACAAATGAGAGCTGGGGCCAAGAAAGGGCGTGATAGAAGTAGTATTTCATCTGGTAGTTCTCCGGTAGACACAGCAGATTGCAGTGCTGGGTGTTCATCAAATCTTGCGGCGTCGCTACGCGGATGTTCATTTCTGACCTAAAACACAAAATACGTTAACAGTCGACAAAGAAGAATAAAAATCAGTAAAGCCAACAAAAATAAAACATTTGGAACGGCTACGAAGTGAAAAAAGAGAAAGGTACCAAAAAAGCTAAATATTCATAAAACAAAATCGGTGTAAAAGATTCAGCCCTATAACTGAATATTTCATTGCACAAGGCGCAATTTTGTCGGGAAAATTTCCCCTCTCAACCATTGCGAAATTTTTTTAGTCTTTCTTTAAAAGCGTATTGATGCAAAGTTTTTTAGAAGCTTTAATGCTTATTTTCTATTCAAAGCAAAACTTAAGAACGTTTTACAATGTGGCGGTGGTCCACCCCATTCACCTGAGTGGGTATGTAGTTTCTAGTCTTACGCCATTTCTTGGCATTCCAATTACCGTAGAGTGAGTGGCCGCTACGAAACATTTCAAATGTCTTTTCTTTCAGTTTTGAAACTCGGTTTTTTGTCCTTTTAAATGTTTTGTTTTGCTGATAATGATAATAATAGTTTATTTTAGAACATGGGTTATGATTCACCAGCTCGCGGTGGTGGCGGTTTCCGGGGTGGTGGTGGACGAGGATTTCGCGGTGGTGGCGGAGGAGGTTTTCGTGGAAGCCCTCGAGGAGGAGGTGGATTCGTTGACCGAGGACGAGGTGGTGGTGGCGGCTTCAGAGGTATTGTTTCGTTTTGATTGTTATAAAATGTATCGTCGTAAATTAGTAAATGATTTGTTTTTAGGTCGTGGAGGATCGCCCGGTGGAATGAGAGGCAAATCGCCTGGCGGCGGGTTCCGTGGTGGAGATCGAGGAGGTTTTCGTGGTGGAGATCGCGGTGGCTTTCGAAGTGGAGATCGCGGCGGCTTTCGGGGTGGAGATCGCGGCGGTGGATTCAGAGGTGGACGGGGAAATAGTCGTAAGTTTTTCGCGTCGACCTTAATCAATTACCTTGACATTCCCATACAACGCGGCACTAATAAAGTTGTGGGACTTTTTCCGAGGTTTTCATTTTTTCTGGGGTAATCGAGGGCGCGCGGACCATGAAGATTGCGCCCAATGAAATTGCCATTTGCCAGGCCCTTCGGTTGGTGCGAGTTTGGTATCAAAATGTAGCCCTCAAAATGGCTACACGATGGTACACCCCTACAAAAGGCTGTACGTCGTTGTTAGTATTGCGATGTACGGGCGGTGCTCTCACTCTTCCGCCATTTTTCTTGTACTAAACAACAGTATTTTGTATGGGTGTACCATCGTGTAGCCCAATCGAAGGGCTACAGTTTAATACCAGACTCTCACGAAGTGAAGGCCCTGATAAATGGCAATTTCATTCGGCGCAATTTTCGTATTTATACAGCATTTTTTATATATCTTCATGGTCCCGAGGGCGCTGATCACAAAAACCGCATTTTCAACATAAGTTTCCGTACTAAAAAAAATTATTTTTCTAACCCCAGAAATGTAGCTTTGGAGCATAAAGACGGAACTTAATAAGTTTAGTTTGGTCATACAAGTTCCTCCCACTTAAGTCATGATGTATTGAAAAATAAAAACTTTAAATCTTTCTAAAAACTAATTTTTTAACAAAAACGCGGCATTCAAGTTTTTGGACAGCGATTTTTTACGCAAAGAGCTACCCTGCAATCACGAAAAAATTTAATTTAAGCTCTAAAGTTTGCATGCGAAATGGCAAAAATAGGTTGATTTCCATTGACTTTTCCGGGTTGGAATAGTCAATTTTTAATACGCAAACTCGGAAAACATGGCCCCTCAACTTTATCAGTACCTATAACGCTTACGTTTAGGTGGCAGAGGAGACTTCACGCCACGTGGTGGACGCGGTTTCTCGCCGCGCGGAGGTCGAGGTGGTTTCAATCCTATGAGCGATCGCAAGCGACGCGTCTTTGGCGATGAGGATGATGAAGAAGAAACTGGCAAGAGGTTCAAGTCGCTCCCCAACACTCCTTTCCAGAAAGGAAGAAAGTCTTTTGATGATAAGGTATTTATAGTGTAGTTTTATAAATTCTCGAGTTATGGTTTAGGAAAATGAAGAGAAGCCACGAAAGGCTAAGCCAATCACCCAGAAAAAGCAGCTAGACTTTGATGAGGTAAGATTTTTTAAATTTGAAATTACTTTTTATTTTAGGATTCCGAAGAAAACTCCGATGAAGAGCTTGAAATGGCCGAGGATGGTAGCTTGGATGAAGGAAGCGACGAGGGTGAAAGCGGTGAAGAGAGCGACGTTGACGAAGAGGAAAACGAAAGCCACCCGAAGAAGAAACTAGTCCAAGGAGCCGATGAGGACGATGATGAAGAGGAGGATTCGGACGAAGAAGAGGGAGATGATGATGATGAGGAGGAGGTAAAGTAATAGTTTGTTGGTAATTATAATAAATCTTAAGGATTCCGAAAGCCTTGAGGACGAAGAAGACGTCGTCGGAAAGTTTGCCTCTAAAAACGCCAAAAAAACTGCCGTCACACCAAAGCCTTCAATGAAGGCTGCCAATGGAGCCACATCCGAGAAGAAGAAGGTCAACCTTAGCAATGTCGCAACGCCTCCACTTTCAGTAATGTCTTTTTATAATATTGCTAAGTTCGCAAGTTCAGACAGTCAAAACTCCTGGGACTCCTCATCCCACAAAGACTGATAAGAAGGCCCTGCCTGGAAAATCTCAACCTAAATTGGTGTTTGACTCCGATGAAGAAGAAGAGGTATTTTCTGAATTCGTCCTATTTTTCTGAATTTTAAACTTTGTTTTAAAATTAAGGATGAAGAAGACGAAGACGAAGATGAAGAGGACGAGGACGAGGAAGACGTCGAAGATGAGGATGTAGACGAAGATGAAGATGAGGATGAAGAAGAGGAGGAAGAGGTCCCAGCTACGAAGTCTACGGCAATCACCCCAAAGTCTGCTTTGAAGCTGTCGTCAGCTGCTACCACTGCTGAAAAGAAGAAGGTTGATTTGAGTGCTGCATTAACGCCTCCTGTTACGGTTTGCTGATGGCCATTTTTCTACGTCAGATTTTTTAGGCTTCAAAAACTCCAGTAACGCCTCATCCGACAAAGAGCGATAAGAAGCTTTCACAGAGTAAGCAACCACAATTGGTCTTTTCTGACGAAGAGGACGAGGACGAGGATGAGGTAAACTGTAAATAATTAATTAATAGATCTAATGTTTTTAGGAAGAGGAGGATGAGGAAGACGAAGATGAAGGAAGCGACGAGGAAGAGGAGAGCGAAGATGAACCTCCAAAAAAGATAGAAACCTCGAAACCAGCTCCAAAAGCTGTGTCAACGGTGAAAGCTCCAACATCTGGTGGCGGCGATTTGAAGTCCGTGAAAAGAAAGGCTGAAGAACCTGTTAAAGGGGCACCTTCCGCAAAGGCATCAAAGGTAATGTTCTTGACCCTTCTTTATATAATATTTTCTAGCTTGACGTGAACGAAGTTATTGCTGAAGAGGAGAAACGGAGACAAGAGCGGGATGAGCGCTCATTGTTCATCAAAGGTTTCCCCAAGAGCATGACCCAAGCTGAGCTGGAAAAAATCCATCCGGATGTGGAGGGCGTTCGAAGCAAAAAAGGCCGCTCGTTCGGCTGGCTTATCTTTAAAGTATCTTTTACTTTTACACTCACTTTTTATTCGTTAATTTAGAATGCAAATGCCTGCAACCTTGCTTACAAGACGCTTTCAAAGATGAAAATCAAGGGAATGCCTTTGTTTGTGGACTACTGCGGCAAACGATCTACTCAAGAAAAGGAGACTGCCACATGTAAGAGATTTTGTTTTAACTTTAAATAATTTAAACCTAGCTAATCAACAGCCGATCAATCCGCTCGAGCTTTGCTTGCAAGGCTTTCCGCCAAGCACCACCCAGCACCAACTCAAAGTCATCTATCGATCGGCCCAGACCATTCGAATTCAGCCACAAAAGGCTGATTATAAAGGAAAAAGGTAAAACAATGAATCATTATATTTGTATACGCTATTCTTAGTTTGGCCTTCGTTCGATTTGGGACTGAAGAAGATGCTAAGGCTGCATTTGACAAAAGCCGAAATCTTTCCATCAGCGGAAAACCGGTGGATGTCTTCTACTCGAGAGTGAGAAAAACGGCGGACCAGGTGGAAAAAGAAAAGGCTCTGCTCAAACTCAAGAAGCAGGCGGAAACTTCAAAGGTTAGCTTTCTTCAAAAAACTTCTCCAACTTGTTTTATTTAGGACAAAACTCTCGTTGCTCCGTCAAAACAAAATGGTGTTGCAGCTCAGCAAAAGAAACTTCAAGCTTTAAAGAAAAAGGACGATTCAGAAGATGACTTTGAAGATGAAGATGACGTTGAATCCAGCGATGAAGGAATTGAAGAAGTGCCCAAGAAGGTCGTCAAGCAGGTAGGCGTTTATTTAAGTGGTAAATTGTTTACATTTGATTCGTAGGCTGGAAAGAAGCCAATTGTCGAGGAGTCTGACGACGACGATGAGGAAGAGGAGGAGGATGATGATGATGAAGAAATGGAGTCGGATGAAGACGAAGAGGACGATGAATGAGCATCTAATCCATTGACCTTCAAATACTCACTTTGTTGTTTCCACGTTGTTTGTTGTTATCGTTGATTTGTTTTAAATAAAATAAAAATTAGAAAATGAATGAGCACAAAATAAAAACAATACTGACTAGAAAAAGAATATTTGGACGGGCTACAGACGTTTACATACAATTTTAATAGTTAAAGTTTGCTCAGTTGTTCCCGGTAGTTCTTGCATCAGTATCTTTTGGACCTTCGGACTTCTAAACTTTTACACCCTTCTGACTACCACTCACAAAAAGGAAAATTTGAGTTTGTTACATTTTTTCCCAATTTCCCCTCTTGGAAAACAGTTATTTACTAATGCTTATAATGATTTTATATTCTCCCAATTTTTCTCCAAGCTCTTCTGCCCGAGTTCGCAAATTTTTTGGGTCAACTCCGGAGATGTGTGGACAGAGAAAAGACGGAATCGTTCTCTTTTTTGAGGGAAAATTTCTGTTGACTGTCTTTTCTCTCTTTTTCTTTTCGATCACTTACTCATCTTTTCTCTTCTCTTTTTTCGCCTACTCGAGTATTGATAGGGAAAAATAGAGGAGAATTTGTGTGGACAAGATGGAAAAGAAAGAGAGGTAAAGGGGGTAAGGCAAAGATGGACCACAAGGTGGCATGAAGGAGTGTCAATAGAAGGGCAGGGGACGGAGCCCTTCGATTCTTCCATATCAACTCCGTCCCCTCCAAATTTTAAGCTTAGTTTTGATAAATCTATTCACGAGCTTTTTCAAGCCACCTTCAAATTGATTCCAAATGTATCTATTTATTCAGTTTCCAGTTATTCACTCTTGCGATCAAACAAACTCACTTTTGGCACTGATTCCCTCTTTCTCTTTTTGATATAATGATATTTTGACTATTCTCTTATATCAAACAAATTTCGAAATTTGTGAGCTTCAGGCTGAAAATAAAAGCTTTTTTTTTGGTTTATTTATAAACGTTTTACATTTTGTGGTCTTACTATGGCCCACTAGAGTCCATTTTTTATTGATTTTTGAAGCTGGGAAATCGAAGAAAACTGATAGTAATCATCTTTAAAAAGAACCGAAATGCGAAATCTCAACGCCCAAATTCTTCTCCACTCCTCAGCTCCCACAAGAGTTTTTTTTTCCTAGAAATCCATTTCCCCCCTCACTTTCCTTGAACAAATTATCATTTTTCTTTTCTCGACAAACCGAGAAATCTCAGCTGTTTTCTTTTCTTTTCTCTATTGGTTCTCAACTGAAAAAAGAGTGAAAAAGGGTTTTCTCTAAAACGAAAATCCACAATTGTGAGCAATTGTGAGGAAGGAAATCCCCGAAAACGGCTTTCTGCACAAAGGAGTTGAGAAAATCGAGAGATGAGTGTAACAAAGTACAGAGGATATCGCAAGGATACTGTAATTCAACAATTCTTCAGGAAAGAGCTAGAGCGTGTTTTCTAAAACATGTCAGTTTCCGTAAACTATCGTAATCTTGTCTCTAGTATTTATCCAGTAGAGTTAGAAAGGAGAAAGCGCTCGTTCGATACAAGAGAGGCGATCGGCGAACAGCTTGAGGGTAAGGGAGGTACGGTAAATGGTAAGGGAGGTACGGTAAATGAGGGCATTGAATGGGAAATAGGCTCGTTGAAATGAAAAGGTTTGAAAAGCGTTTTGCAAAAGCTAGTGTGCTCTAGTAGTAGCCTCTAGTAGCCTCTAGTAGCCTCTAGTAGCCTCTAGTAGCCTCTAGTAGCCTACTCTAGTAGCCTACGAGTGCTTTAGTAAAGAAATTTATTTTGTTGTCGATAAAGAGGCTTAATGGTGGCTAATTGAAGTACTAGGTGCTGTAAGATTGCTGTAGCTTGTCGAAAAGGTAAGGCTTAAGGGCAGCAATCGATAGAACTAGGCTTGGATCGATTCCCGATAGCAATCGATAGGCTTGGATCGGTTCCACGTTAAGAGCACGTGGGCTTCAACCCCCGGAAACTTTTCCCCCAAATCTTGATGAGAAAAACTTCCGTAAAATTCTCGAATACGATCTACAGTTATTGAAGAGCGAAACCAATGAAGCAAACAAATGAAAAGAGGCTTTTTAGCTTTCAATCATATCTGGCCAAGCTGGATCATTCTGGTCAAGCTGGACCATATTTGGTCAAGCTGGACCATATTTGGTCAAGCTGGCCATATTGGTCAAGCTGGCCCCAGCTTTCAATCATATCTGGCCAAGCTGGACCATTTTGGTCAAGCTGGACCACATTTGGCCAAGCTGGACCATATTTGGTCAAGCTGGACCATGTCTGGCCAAGCTTTCAATCATATCTGGCCAAGCTGGACCCGGATTTAAAGCTGAAATCAATCAACTTTTTCCCCAAAAAAAATGTAAATTTCAATGGACTTTCCCCAAAAATTTCACACAATTTTCATTTTTCATCGTCATACAATTTTTTCCCGAGAGATCGCCTTTAATCGCCTTTTTTCTTTTTCTCTTTTCCACTCACTCACACACTCAAATCACAGAGTTCGATATTTCGAATCCATTTCCAATTTTGCGGCTCTCCCTCTCTCCATTTTTGAGTCCATTCAAAATTCGAAAAATTTCTCCCCCAGTCCACCCACTGGTCTCTCTATAAAGTTTTAGCCATTTTTTTGAAAAGTTTTTCATTTCCATTTCCATTTTCAAATCTCAATCCTTCTTTATAATGATAAATTTTATGTTATCCAGCTGTAGACTTGTTGTAGACTTGTTGTAGACTTTTGTAGACTTGTTGTAGACAGCTGTAGACTTGTTTATCGATATTATCAATGCAAACGGCAAGCTTATGCTGTGGTATGCTCTAAGTTCTACAACTAGCTGCTATAGTAAAGCTTTGTACAGCTGAATAGATTAGCTTATCGATACAAATGGCATGCTCACGTTTAACCGTTCAGATCTCGATTTCTAGAATAGCTATCAATCTGCAAAGTGTTTCATTAGAAAGTCAAGAATGCCAGTTTTTGATTGATCTTTTATACAGAAGAGTTTTTTTTAAAGAGTAAGCAGTTAAAGAGTAGTTTTCTAAAGAGTAATCACTTCATAAACCTTATCGATACTTATCGATATCGTAAGTATCGATTATCGATAAGTTTAAGCTTTTTAAAGCACTTGCTTATGAGAATTTTCTATGTATGAGATAGCATTCAAAAGCTGACATTCTTGACTTTCTAATGAAACACTTTGCATATTGATAGCTGTTCTAGAAACATATATCTGAATGGTTAAACATGAGGTTTGTTTGTCGCGATAAGCAAATCTATTCAGCTGTACAAAGCTTTACTATAGCAGCTAGTTGTAGAACTTGGAGCATATCACAGCATGAGCTTGCCGTTTTTATTGATAAGATCGATAAACAAGTCTACAGCTGGATAACATAAAATTTATCATTATAAAGAAGGAGCTAGTTGTAGAACTTATCAGCTAGTTGTAGAACTTATCAGCTAGTTGTAGAACTTATCAGCTAGTTGTAGAACTTATCAGCTAGTTGTAGAACTTATCTTTTAATAATTAAACTATTATACTTGATATAAGATCTATTTATTTTAAAAACATTTTTCTTTTGTTAATGAATTGTGTCGAGTTGCATTGGGATCGTTTTTATCGTTTCGTTTTTTTTTCGAGGTGAATTCTAAACGCATCCTTTCTACTACACTCAATTCTTTATTCTCCTTGCTACGGCTATCAGATAAAGAATTCAGTGCACCAGAAAGGATGGGTTTAGAAATGCTGAGCACAAATTACATTGAAGAGTTGATCTTGAATCAATCAAATCAATCAAAGCTTTACTCTTCAACTATCGTAGCTTTTGACAATTAATGGCATTGTAGATCTTGTAGATTTTCTATAAGACAATCATTGTTTAGCTAATTTAGCTAATTGGATTGACTTGTTCTTATTGTAAACTCTGGCAAAACTTCTTTGCCATTGCCATTGCCATTGTCATTGCCATTGCCGTTGCCATTGTCATTGCCATTGCCTTTGCCATTGCCATTTTTCCTCCTCCTCCTCTTTTGTCTAACAAAATTTCCTCAAAACCTCTTCAAATATCCTTTCAATTCGATCAGCTTCAACGTGTCCTTTCTCTCTTTTTTTGTCTTTCATTTCATTTATTTCATTTCATTTCAAATGTCCATTTGAGCAAACTGTCCACAAAATGCGACCAACTCGATGAATTTTTCGACAAAAACGATTTCAAAGCTTCTCCCCATTTCCCCCCTTTTCTCTTTTTTTTTTTTTTATGGTTTGCTTGATTTCCCCATTTTTTTCAGTTCTCTTTCGTTTTCTCTCTGAACACACAAAAATCGCCGCTTCGTTTTCGACAAATATTGCAAATAATTTCAGTTCCACGCTCGTCTTGCACTGCCCACTTTTTTGAGAATTTTTGGCAGCCTCGAAAACTGTTTAGTTTCTCTATGATAAAACAATTTTCCCTGTCTTCTGCACCAGAGAAGGCGTGTTTCTATTTTGAGCACAAAGTACGCCGAATTGACGTTAAAGCTATTCATTTGAAAGTCCATCGAAAATCCGAACAATCAAAATTGTTTCCGAAATTGTTTCCGAAATGGTTTCCCCTCTTTCCATTCAGAAAATTTGAATATTGAAACTTTTCGACTCGTTTTTCATAAATTTTCCTTTCCAAAGTCCATCAGCACTTTCTCTTTTTTTCCTTTTTCGATAAAACAAATGAAATTTTCATAGTCATACGATCATACGATCGAAAAAAGGACAGTGAATTCAAAAAAATATAAATTTGAGAATTTCACCGGAAATCCATTGCCGTTTATCGTAATGCTATTCATTTGAAAGTCCATCAAAAATGCGAACAGTCAAAATTGTTTCCGAAATGGTTGACGATAAACATAACAGTGGGTGTGCAATGTGCTCTACACAGTTTTTTTTCATTGAAGGCTTTAAAAATACTCCGAAACTCGACTCAGAAATCCAATCCAGCTCCAGCTCCACTCAGAAATCC